ATACATAAATAAAAATATATCTTAATATAATAATATTATAACTTACCGGTTTGATCAAATTAGTTGTAACTTTTCCCGGGCATTTCAAATTTGTGTTTTGTGTGCATTTCCACCCGATAGAATTATTATTCTTCCTCAAAACCACATAAGAATATTTCTTATATGCTAATAATTCTGAGCCTCTTTGACTTTCAAATTTGTCTATATTAGGTATAATTTTTATGGAAGTAATAACACACTCAATCCACTATTGCGAATGATATTGTACTGATGAGAACTTTCTGTATATTAAAGTTCATGACATTTATTGATTAATAGATATTTATCGTATCTTATCGTTATTGCATTATTTTTACTCGCAGTCACTCGTGAGTCGTGTTTTCCCATCGATCGTCGGTAAAATAAAATTAAAAATAATCGTTGATATTTTATTCTTTTTTTTTCATAAAAGTTTGGGAAACCTTTACTATTGTGAACCGTACCAGTATTCTGCGTTTATACAGACCTTACCAGTTTTCCGTTTACCATAAAGAAGAGCCCCGGACAGCCTATATTCAGATTTGATTTGACCAGACGAGTCAGTCAGTCTTTTGATTTATTATTTTGGACTTGGAATAATTTTGAACAGTGAATTATTTTGACTTAGTAAATATGCGAGTTAAACCGATATTTTCTGAAAACTTAAAATAATTCTTTGAAACAAATATTCTGATATGGAATAACAGTTAACCAGTTTAAATTATACGTGTTTTAATTAAATATTACAATAAACTATACCACAAGCAAAAGTTCATTTAAAAGTACACTTATCCTCTAAACGACGCCTGTAGTCGTCACACCACTACAGTATCATCAAGCTAGTAACTGTGTAACCTTACATACTTAGTATAGAATAAATATTAGGTATTCAGAAAGGGTATATTCTAGATAATATATTTTTTTTAGTTGTTGAATATTCATTTAACTCTATACTTATCATGTAAGAACAAAAAATATTTTTTAATTTACTAACGGGGATTTTTTATTTAAATTATTGAGAATTTCACTGTTTGTAGTAGAATATTTTTATAAAAATTAAAGAAAAGTATTTATTCATAAACATTGTTTTAAAAGAACTTTAGAAAGTTTGCGTTTAGCAGAACCAATTTTGTTTTTAACTTTAATATTAAGTGAAATGACCTATTATCAAATATAAAGACCAGAAAATTATCTAGGGAATCTCAAAATCTTTTGATGATATTAAAAAATTTTAAAACAAGTAATGAAAATTTTAAAATTTTAATATTTTACACAGATACCTATAGAATTCTTTAAAACTAATTTAGATAGAAACCAAAAGACTGCTATGTTATGCTTTTTTACAAGGCGGAGAACACATGCACTATTTTGGTATTCTCTTAGGATTAAGTTCGGAGCAGAAGACATTTTATAAAATTATGGTAATCTATGATGGTGTATGAACTGAGTGTTAAACACATACATTTAAAATACTTAAATAAATACTTTAATTACGTATGAAAATTATACTACATAATAATAGAATATTTTTAATACTTTTTTTGAATTATCATTAAAACAACAATTGAATAACCTAAAATATTAAGTACATATGTACTTAACTACCTTATAAAGGAAAAGGTTATTTAGAATTTCTATAAGGTATTAAGATATAAATCTGCTAAAAGTTAATATAAATATATATATATTTATGATTAGAATAGTATGAATTATTGTATGCACATGTGTAGCGCTACATTCCAATATATTTGCAATATACGGTGATGATGTAAGTTCGTAAAATATATATATTTATATCAAAGTTTTTAATCATTTTTTCAACCAAAATGATTTTGATGTTTACTTTGATTAATTTGTTAAATTATTATTATAGAATATTTAAAAACAGTACGTACTTGAAACACTTGTACAGGATTAGCTAATTTTGATTTCTGATTTGTTGTAGGTAATAAACTAATTAAATCAACTAAATAACTATTATCATAATATACACCTAGTTTATTCCACATTTTAATAATTCTTGCAATTTTGGATTGTATTTTTTCATCTCTAAAAAAAATAGTGAAATAAAAATAAGAATATTTTTAAAAGGATGCTACACTGCATGTATTGTCTCCGTTTTGCAAATGTTAAACTTACCAAAAACTGTGTTTCGAGCGTAAGAACCACTCAGACTGTAGTCTAAGCTAAGCAACCAAATTTTCACACCGAATACAAAACGTAGAATCTGAACTAAGATAAAACTTTCAAGTATTGAGCCCGATGTTCAAAAACTCGTAACTGAAATGCAACATCTACTATCGCATTAATACTTATTAATTAAGTAAATAAAAATTAAGCTTTAAGAATATTAAGAATAAAATAATTTATATTACAATTTTTTTTAAATTTAAGTGTTTAATGATGTTAAAGTTTAAAATGAAAAATTAAGTTTAATAAAAATAATTATAAATGTGTATATTTTGTTATGTCTACTTCTATAATTTGTATTATAAAATAGTTATTATAATTTTGGTTATGATAACTTGATATGTTTTGTAAAAAAAAAGGTATTCGACAAAAAATTGGTAGGGGGGTCCGCGATTTCTAAAAATATTTCATCGGGAGTCCGTGTTCTACAAAAGGTTAAGAACCGCTGCTATAGACTATAGTACATTACACATTTACACGAGCCAGAGTTTGCCCTTTGAACGTGTGTACATTTGCTCATCTTCTTTAGCCAGTCCTACAGAATTAATGAGTGGACAGATTGGTCAGTTTGTGGTATCAATAGATAGGGCATGGTATATTGGTATGCAGATATACCTTTGTCGTTTTTGAAAAAATTGGTTGTGTAAAACCAAATATACAAGCAAAAAAGTCAAGTATTTTTGAAGCAAAGATATATTGTGCTCGACCACATACTACGCCTAGGTACTGTACTGGGCAACGGTTCCCGCTGTTGCCTGCCTATATAGCCTAATAAGCCTTCGCTTATTCGTCCTCGTTATGAGGATATAGGGTGTTGACGTTGTATTTCACCGTAATATAAATATGATAACCATGACGTGCCATTTGTTGTAATTGTTAACACTATTCTTCCGTTGTTGTGTGGACAGTGTGGATCGTCGAGTACTCGAGTGTTCAGGATATTAGTATTTAATACTGTTATAACTAATAACTAAAAATACTAAATAGATATTTACATACCTAGTTTAAAACCTGTCATATGTCATCAAGGTTCATCTGTGAACGAAGCTCATTATACTTGCATAATTTTGCATCAAAATTAATGGGTACGACGTAATGACACTTCAATACATTTTGAACGATGGCCTCGAGGGGATAAAAATGTGTATATTATAATAATGCAAAAAGGGAATAATAAATTAAGTAAACGAACAAACATAATAATAAAATTAAAATGCCGGTACATAAAAATATGTTATAAAAAAACTACTAATATCCTAACAAAAAAAATTTGTCGAACTCTCCTTGTAAAAATTTGCTAAGTCAGCAAAAAACGTGTCATTCATGAGACTTCGGCATTATAAAGATGTGATATCATGAATAAATGATAAGTTAGTTAAATTTAAAATAAATTTATTCAATCTCAATAATTTATTTACTTTGTTAGAATTTATTTCGACAAATTAATATGTCCGTTCGTACCTAGACTATTTAACAAATTTCCATTACAAATGTTACTAAATAAATTATTTAGATAGAATAAATTTATTTTTAATTTAAATTACTTAGCATTTCATCGTTATAATGCTGAAGTCTTATAAATAACTAGTTTTTTTTGACTTAGCAACTTTTTTCACGGAGTTCGTGCTTTTGTTGGGGTCACATAAACCTATAAAAGGATTGACCGCTTATAGATAGAGATACAAGAACCAAATATATTATGTGCTACAGAGAAGGCGTTAGGTATGTTAGAAATAAAGCAAAAGAAGACACTAAAAGCAAAAATATATCAATTGGTTTTGAAATATTTTTTTTTTTGTGCCATATTATATAATACTCATAATATTATTATAGAAAATCTATCTAGAATAATTATAGTCATGCAAATTTTTGAACAAATATTTTTTTTAACTTAAATTAGAGTAATTAATTGTTACAGTCATTGCTAATATTTAATTACAAATATAAACTGTATACTAATAATATTGAATTCTATAATACTGCAATATCATGTATAATTCTCTAAAATTAAATAACTGAAATTATTTTTTTTACATTAGGTTATTTTCTATAACATGTTGATAATATTATAAACTATATAAGAATCAGGAACTTAAAATGTTACCTATTGCAGTGTACAGTGTAGTACTGTAGTGTATAGTGGTCAAATTATTATTTGATAGTCTATAATATAATGTTTATTATTATATGACGTATTCGAAATATATTTTTTTTACTTTGAATACCCACATTAATTAAATACAGTTTATTCAACTATATAAAGTAAAATTTGTAAAAACATTTCCTAATAAGATTTTATTTACATTATAGTCAAAATATTATAAGAAACGTAATTCATATTTTAAACTATACATTTTGTAACTCTTAATCATACATATCTGTGCATCACAAAATAATTGTTTATAATAAGACATAAAGACACCATACTTTATTTTAAAGGGAAACAATACCATGACGCACACACACACACAGTGAATGATGATCAATGAAAATGCACATGATGTAAATTGAAAATATAATCCATCTGAACAGTCTTTACATTACACATCAGACATAATGATCTTTTACAAAATATTTAAGGCTTAGATTAAGTGGAAAATATTGTAATATCAATTTAACAAATACAAATAAATTTAGTTACAAAAATAACTATACTACAGTTTTTTTTTATTTTTGAAAATCTTACCCCACATGTCTGATACAATTTTTTTTTCAAATTCTACTACATTTATTATATAATTCTAGTCTAAAAATTATAAATAAATAAAAATAAAAATATATAAATGGTTACTATTAGAGAAACTGAAAATATTTTTAACACCACAAAAAATCGATAGGTAGATATTTTTTTATTATAGATATAAGCTGTATAAAATGAGATCAGTACCCGACGGCGACCAGTTTTAGTCGCATTTCCAGACATTTAATAAGTCTATAAGCGAGGCTAGTGCTTTGGAACAAAGCCACGCACATGTACACAACTTAGCCCCAGGGTATTTTATTGTCGTAAGTGTATTCTTCATTTATATTGATGATCTTGTTAATGGACGCATCACGTACAGTGGCAATGGAATATTCTCGATATTCAGGCAACTTAGGTAGCTCCACAAGTACCAATTCTTTGGCATACGGTCCGTCATTTTTAAAAGCCGGTGGCAAATAGGCAGACTCCTCAGCAGTCACCACATCCCTGTTACCATAATCAATAAACAGAACATGTATACTTAGGCCAGCAACCTTTTCTACTTTGACCCGGTACCACTGTTGATCTTCCATAAACTTAGCTGCGCACGTTTCTCCTAAAATTGTATTTAACAAATATGAATATTATTTAACCATCATATAAAAACTAAAAATTACAAAGATGTATATATGTAACAAATTACCTTGTTTTGGACTGTAAGAACCAGCAACAGGAGGGTTAGAATCAAAGTGTTTCCCCAAGTTATCACTAAAACTTTCTAACTTGGGTCCTTTCGATACAGGTTGTCCGTAAACACTCAACTCAGAACTTTTTCTTTAAATACGACATTGCAAGATTGATATGCAAGGCATGAACTCATGAGCCCTTGTCATGATTAATACGATAACAAGATTTGAGTTTTTTAAATCCTTATCATATCAGTCTTACTGAGAACACAATATTAAAAAAAAACATATAGTTTAACTGAGTTATAATAATAGAAGTTAAATTAATTTTTAATTTATACAATTTAACTTTATCTTTTTACTGCATAGAACATAACACAAAAAAACATATATTTTAATTTACACTATACTTATAAAATTTGACTTCCAATAAAGATGGTTAAATATTTAAAAAAAGTGATGAACTTCCTAACATTTTTTTCTAGGACTCAATTTGCTTACTGCTTTATTTTCTCATTAACTTAAATTAAATAGTACCCTTTTTGCAGGACCCAATTATCAATCTCAAAAAGTCGCAACTACGTTTCTTAACTTGAACTAAGTAGAATAGAAGAAAGAATGTACTCGAATAATGTGTACAACTCATCATCGTTTTTTGATATAAAATAGTTATTTGAAGAAATGCTCACCAGTAAAACTACTTAATTTCCATTTGCACCCCCCCCCCTCCCAATGAAATATTATTTATGTTTTATTGTACAGTGAGTATATTTTAAAACTTAATTACAATATTAACTAGTGTAACAAATTAAACCACAAATTAACCTAATACCTTTGAATTAGGATTCCAATTTCTCACGTGAGCCTTGTTCTGACGATTAATTAGCGCTTGAACATCAGGACTTCGTTTTTTGACTTAACAGTAACTAGACCATTTCCCACAAGCTCACTAACAATATTGTTGTCTAAAACGTCAAAAATGTATTTAATTATTTTGTATACATATATTATATTAATATAATTCAACATTGAAAAGTAAATATACTCACCCAATGTTGGGTAAAATATGTCACCATAATATCGATTCATCTTTTCACCTTCAGGTACTTGTCCAGCAGTTTTGAAAAACACCTTTTTTCTAAAAAGATTTTTACGGAGGAACTCACGGACTTCCCATGAAAACGGCTCATCTGTGGATGTTTGATCATTATTTGCTCTAAAAATGATACAACAAAATATATTATTTATCTAAAGTTTAAAATGTTGTTTATTGGCTCAATATTTTATTTTAAATATCAAAAACACCTGAATATTAATAACAACTCACCAAGTAAGTAGTCAGATCAAACATTTCAAAAAATCTTATAATAATATTACATTTTTTTTTTTATTGCTATATCATAACTGTTTTTAACCATATTAAGAGGAACAAACATCATATATTGACAAAATATAATATATTTTAAAATGAATAGGTTATTCATTGGTTTTTTAGGAGGATGTAACACTGCCATTTATTGTCTGTCCTAAAAAAGCTTAACATTGCGATTTATGCTCAGCAGGCCACATGTAAAAATTAGAGCAGATTGACCAACTTTATGGTACAAACATTATCTGTGTTTGTATGTTGGTTTTTTTTTACGATAGTTCAATTTTAAGTGAGTTATGAATACTTTTAATACAAGCATAAATTGCTAAACAAATTGAACTATCATAAAAAACCAACATACAGACACAGATAATGTTCTTACCATCAAGTTTCATAATAGGTCAATTCACTCTAATTTTTAAACTAACAAAGCTATACAATATGTGCTGAGAGTAAATTTCCTATTTTACGCACTTGTTAGACGGAGTCAACAAATGCTAGTGTCATGTTCTCTTATACCTTCATTCACAATAATATCAGGAAGTTTTAGAATTGTCCAATAAAAATAGTTAAATAATAGATCATAGAAGGTTATCACACCACATAAATTGGTGGTAGTCTTAAAAATAAGTCCATTCATGAGTATTCATCAGGTGAGAGTTAATTCATGAGATGTTTTAAGACATTTTTACATTTAGCTCACAAAAATCATTAAGCATCTAAAAATATCCACAAATTCAGTTGGTTAAAAAAATTTGTAATATTGATTTAGCTAAATTATAAATATACAAAATAAGTCAGTTTATAGAAAAACATGCAAAATTGAAAATACTAATTTAAGTTAAGTATTACTTAAACCAAACAAATTTGGGCCAAATGGAAAAGGGATCAAATAAATTAAATTTTTATTTAAATATAAAATATAACTATAATCAAATACTCACGCCCGACGGCCCATCTTGGGAGCAATGATGTGGTTCAGTATAATTTCTTTTTCGCAAGGATGATAATTATACACTTCCTCGCTGATAGTGATGAAACCACTAGAATTAACCTGTAGAATAAGTTTACAGATTAAGATAATAAATTATAAATAGATACAAATATATGCTACATATTTGCATTTAGTTACAGAAAACAATAGGTAAGTAGTAAAAATTAAAAGCTTATTCATATGAGTTTTTATATTATAATTTTTACAATATTTATAGTACCTACCTAGTCATCTATATCATTTATACACATATTAAACTAACATATTACCTAGACTCAGGCCAACGAGAATTATGCCAATACTTTTTGTGCTCTGAACAGACACATAATAGATAAAATATAAAAAATGTATTTTTCAAACCATCATGCTAATTGTGAAACCACGTGGAATTAAATTAGAGTTTGAATAAGGTACAGTTTAAACTTATTTTCATACAATACTTATATATTTGTTAACACAAAGGTATCCAAGCTTTTATATCAATAAACATATAACAAAGATAGGTTAGGTTCTCACAAAAATATTGTTAGCATGAAAAATTATTTCAAAATACTTAAATTTATATTAGTATTGAGGAATAAACGCCTACCTAACCAATTTTTTTAAATGAAAATAAATAATAAGTTATTTTAAATATCAATTGATACATTTAATAAATTAAATTAATACTCATGTAAACCACAATCATTTTTTTTAATGATGAATAATCAAAAGTAGGTACCTATCTATCTTTAAAACAAAATAATATTTGAGAAAGTAGGGCAATGTTTAAAAACTTATCGATGGAGCCTTTCATAATACCCACCTACAAATAGGCAGAATACAATTTATTTACATTTATACCTATTTGAGTTTCAATGGATTAAAACACTTGAAAGTAGGTATACACTTAATATGTTTCGAACAGTATTTTATTACATACTTGTTACACTTAATGGTAATAAAAAAAAAAAAATCCCAAGTGAAAAAAATCCACTATAGAAATTGTGGGGGTACCTCATATCAATTTAACATAACCATGCTTTTAACACTAGTATAAAATGTATTGTTTTCAAATATCAATAAAATCTAGCTATTCATCAATTTGACTTAGGTTCCTATTTATCAGGTGCTGAAATAAAACTTAGTAATGTTTGAAATACCCTTTACCCTCACTGTAAAGCCTGGTCCAGACCTAAAAACATTTGAAAGCAATATATGTTTCTAACATTCATGACGGGAAATTGTAAACATTGTCAAAGACAAATTTTCTTTTGGTCTGGGCAGGGCTTTATAAATAAAGCCAATAGATGAAAACACACAGTACTTGGAAATAATTTATGTTAAGGAAAACAGAGAAACCAGTTATATTTCAAATACCAGCTAACCCCAAATTTCAGAACTTAAGTCGCAGACAAATTGGTTGGATGTTCGACAAAAGACAAAGGTAGTGACACGGGTAAACATGACACAAGACGTCTGGTATGGTCAAGTTAAGTTCGCATTTCTGAAAGGTTGTGGCTACACACATGAAACCCACACCTAACCTGGCGTGTGGGGTAAGTAATACTCTACACAGTAGTCCAGAAAAACGTTGAGTGCGTGTCCGCGTATCGGTGTCGAAACGACGTACCTGTTTGACGATTCCCTCGAAGATCCTGACGGGCTCCTTTGTGCGGGACACGGCACCGGGTGGCTTGTTCGTCATCGTGGCTGGGCTGATAGCGGCGATGCTTGTATGATAATATTGTTAAATGAGGATGGTTCGTAAAACGCCGTGCGTCTCGGCTGCGTGCGTTCCCACGTATTTCGACAAAGGAGGCGACGATCAGGTGTCGTGTGAACGGGTTTTATCGGCGTCGACGATGGTGGATAAACACGATAATCAATTTATATTAAACGAGCGATATTGACAGATTGTGCACGGCAATAGGATGAGATACTACGATACCTCAGCGTTCGACGTGTGCGGAAAACAATTAGTCCGGACGTGCTAGTAGGGTAACAGTGGAAATACCACGAACAGACGAGGTTAGAATGTTGTGTGAACGTACGAACAGAAAAATGACATCTTAAAAACTGATGAAATTAATATGAAACATATTTTATTGAGGCTTAACCGAAACTAGTGCACTGTGAGCTTTGTTGTGCACCCACAACAACACTCGGTTTCTGCACTAATCTGCAGTCTCTCCGAGTACCACCCACCCTGGCACCCTGCCATAAACACTGTTTTCTTTATCACGATGCGCACAGCGCACTGCTGGTAATGTGATCTATATCGCGCACCGAACCGCGATAACAAAGAGCGTTATTTTATTATCGTGGATACTTGATTTTTTGATTTATTTGTTCTTCCATAGGCAGCACTAGATATCAGCGTTGTATTAAAATTGTCCCTCCCTCCATCCACCACCATATAAGTGCCACTTGCCACTTGCCGTTTGACGTCTTGGCGGCGACTTCGATGCTTCATTGTAAATATTTTTACCACTTATATATATAATATTTATAGATCTGTGGTTTTTAATAGTTATTATTGTGTTATTATAATAATATTGTTTGTACTCATAACGATTTATTATTATAGTATTGTACATTTTTAATATTTTGTATTTATATTGATGTCTGATGATTGTTCTATGCTGATAACCCCGTTAACAGTTAGAATACCAAATAGTTAACAGCAGAGCTGATATTGACACCTGTTAAAGTTTTGCTTTATAGTGGTTGTCAATAATTATATCTAACGGATTCATAAACCTCTTCTGACTTATTCAACTCCATCAACATCACTCACATCGACTCCTGTGGGTAAGTGTAAATTTAATCAAGTATCTGAGGGTGAAAACTGTCTTGTCATACTCGCGAATCGTGTATATGTGTGAAATTAGACTTTAACGGGTTGCTGAACAAGTTTTTTCTTGTGAGCGTTGTTAGTAATCCAAGCATTATCCTTCTACTGAACACCTATATAGTGGTGAGGGAATTCTAAAAACTTCAATTTTTTGGTTTGATATACGGTAATACATATTTCACTTTTAGTTTTGTTTGACAATATTTTATTAATGTGCATAATACAGATCCAAAAATATCATCCTTTTTTTACCTCCTATGAATCGCGATATCGCAATTAACTATAAATACTTGATCACTCAAATTGCTTGTCAGTGGAGGCGGGATATAATACTATTTGAAGCAATTGCTTCATAGCTTCATAGCTTCAACATAGTAAATTATCATTTTATTGTAATAAAGGGGATGGTTGGTGGTAAAAATCTTAAAAATGTACAATTTGCTTCAAAGACTCAAAAAGTTTGGGCCGCCACTATTGCTTGTCATCAACATTTAAAGTTTTCTCCTCAACTCCTAAAGTCCAAACATCCAGCATAGATCTAGCCACCTATAAGCTATTGTAGTTTATAAAAACATTATTTTTGTAATATTTAAACATTTGATTCTAAAAATTAAAATTTTAAACCATAAAAATTAAATATGATTTCATAATAAAAATGTTATAATAATATAAATAAATATAACATTTAAAATCATTTATCTTAAAATTACAACTGTTAATAATGAAAAGAAAAGCAAAAGCAGAGGGGAAAATGTGTACTATATTATAATTAAGTAAAGACTATCATAGAAATAATGATGTACCTATTAAATATCAATATTTCAGATAGAATTACCGACCAACATATGTTTACTCGTCATTGTTTGCTATACCACACATAGCACCATACAAAAGAAAGACATAAGCAATTACCTATTTTGTATTTTCGTGTGATCATTATAAATTATAATAATCATAGTTGTTATCGTCGAGGAAATAAACATTTTTTTTTGTTCGATTAGTATAAAAGCAATTCATAACCGTTGGGGTTAAATAAACACCAGGTATACATTGGCTACGTTCACAATATCACGTCTCCTTTTAATTGGTGAGTAGACTTAGTATTAATAATTATGTGAAAGGATTCCTTAACTTTGTTGATATACCGATGAAAAAAACTAAATTATTACATTTTAATATGTTCATAATCTAACTCATGACAAGACGCTTTCAATTTTTTATTATAATTCATTGTTCTTTTTTATAATATTGATAGTGTAGGTGTACTGTTGTGAAGAACCTAACATAAATCTTGTTATTCTTGTTGAGCAAATTATTGAATGTTGATATTCACAATAAATATTTACTTAATGTTTTGTTGTTTTTTACAGTACTGGTGATGATTTGTTGGTATACCTAAAACCGTGTGAAAAATAATTGTATAACATAGTTTTGGTAGTTATGAAAAGGATGAATTAAATTATAGCTTGGTAAACATTCTGTGTAAAATACTACGATAAAGCAGTAATGATTGCACAAGAAATTGTTGAAAATAATATGCTATCACAAAAATCTTCTTCAAACAAAATTATGTACAAAATTGCGTAAGCATATAATTTAAAGTAATTTATAAACAATAATTCTAATTGAGAAATTAAATATTTTTTAGTGCTTTGGAACTTAAACACGAAGAACGAAAAACCCTCATAAATCGATGGGGTTCAGAAAAATGTAAATTACATAACCTAAACATTTTGCTCAAAGATAAACTACTACAAGTACAAAATAATGCAATAAAATTACAATCCAAACTTTTAAACAACAAAAAAGTAAGATTGGTATATACAATTAATTTTTAATTTTAAGCAGTATTTATTTACATGTATAATTTTTTTAGCAACTGAGTTTGTTAAAAATTGAAAATACTCAATTAAATGAACAATTAGATCAAATTAAACATAAAAATGTTTCACTAGAATTTCAAGTTCAAGAAATCCCACAGTTACGACTTAAGGTAATCCGTCATTTAATATTATTTTAAGTATTTAAGACTGCCCACCATATTTTATAGGTTTTCTCTTGTTAGCTCTTTAGACAAAATTTAAAAACATAGTGGTTAACTTCTAGCACATAATTTAAACCCACCTAAAGTATTAAATGAAACTAAGTTTTATCTAAATGGCAAAACCGATAACTTGAGTAGTACTCTTAATTATTAAGAGTATTCTTTAAAAAAATAACTAGTTTTTGAGTTAACCTTTCGATGTATTTTATTGAACTATAGGAACTAGAACTGGAGTCTAAAAATGAACAAATTATTGATCTCTTGCAAAAAATTGATTGTTTGAAAAATGAAAATAAGTATCTTAGAGAGCAAAACAATGAACCTGTTATTGAGCTTGAAGCAACTAAAATGTGTGTATAGTTATATCATTAAGATTTAACTGTTATAAAATGGAGCATTTATTTATATTGGTTTTGTGGTTATTTTAGGTTAGGAAATATGGGTACTGGTAGGGCATTTGATAGTCACGTCAGTAATTTTTCGAAGGAAAAGGATAGTCCTAACTGCTCTGCCAACTGCTTTAGCAAAGTAAAAGAATTGACTACCAAATTGTCTGTTGAGGAAAGTGGAAGTGATTGTGCAAATACATTTGAAACATCTGAGTTTGACTTTGATACATGGAATAAAGTAAGTAAAACATGTAGTAAACTATGAATTTATATGATTGAAAAATTGTTTTCATTTTGTTTGACAGGTTGAAAATGCACAAAGATCAGATCACAAATCACCTCAGACACCATCAATGTTTGCAAAAAATATAAAAACAACTCTGCCTTTTCAATCACAAATTGAATCATGTAATTTAGATAAATTAATTGACTGTATGGAACATTTGAAACAAATGCCAAAATCGGACCATGAACAAAACGAGTCACTAGAATCAAGAAATTTTGTTGAATCTCAAGATAGTTTTATGACTTATTCACCTTTAAACAAATATTCAACTGAGAGGCCATTGAATAAACAATTTGAAAATTCAATAGAAACAGAATTTATGGGTTCTACTTTGTTAGAAATGACAAATGGCAGCATTGAAAAATTGAATCAAATGTACAATCAGTGTAAATCAGAAAATCAGGAGCTCCAATACAAGTGTGCAAAGATTGAAAAGTTCTGGGAATCTAAGTACAATGAAGTATGTGAAATAGCAAACAAAGCACTTAATGAGGCTAAACGGTTGAAAGACGAAGGTAATGACTTGAAACTTACTATGGATGCCTTGAGCAATGAATACTTTGAGTGTGAAGAATATTGGTTACTTAAATTAGAAGAAGAGCGTAAACTAAATAAATTGGTTAGTACTTTTTATTTAAATTGTTTGGATTGTTATTAACTGTATTTGTTTATAAAACTAATTGCCTTATTTTAAGTATAGGTAAAATAATTGTTTATTTTCTTTTTGAAAAATTAGATTTAAATGTTTATATTATAGGAGAAAAAAGTTAGTAATGAAAAACTGAATAATCTAGAAGTCAAGATTAAAGGCTACATTGATATGTTAGAAGAGACAGCTGATAATAAATTGCCTTCAATTGACGAACATGTTGAATTTGAAGAACAAGTAATTATTTTTTCATAGTATTTTTATAAAAGTATTACTTTTTATTTTTTTCACAGATCAATTGCATTCAATTAGAATTTTCTAGTTACTGTATGAAGATAGAAAAAGAAATGGAAAACCTTAAAATTGAAAATGAAAGATTAAAATCTCAAATTGTTATTCCAGTCGACAAAGTTGACCTCGAAGGAGCAAACAGTCAATTCAAAGAAAAATATGAGAAATGCCTAAAAAATGAAAAAGTTTGTTATTTCTATAAAATATAATATATGATTTTCAGTTTATGTTTTTGCATTTTACTTAGACTTTTACTTCTACTATTATACTTTTATTTAGACAAATGGTGAATTTAAGAACAAGCAGTTTGACTTAAAATATAATCATGAAAAATCAGGAATGGAATGCCAAAGTCTAATGCAACAAAGGAACTTACTTAGATATGAAATTTTCCAATTAAAGGAATATCTTAATTTTCTTTCAGTAAGCAGTCACCATTGATGTTGATGTCTATTTTAATAATGGGTAAATTATAATTTAATTCTATGATTTTTTTTCTATTTAGTTGTACGACTTTAAAGTTAAATTTTTATTCCTGCTTATGTTATTTTACTCTGTGATAATTTTAACGTTAAAAATTAAAAATATAATGCATATTAAATTTATATTATAGAAGTATAACAATTAGTAATCTTTTTTAATACATTCAAAATAAATTAGCACTAATTTGAATTACAGTTTTATGCCACTTAGGGGGTTTACCACCATTAGGATCTGTTAGTGTTTCATATACACAATGTCCAATTCTAAGCCATACATATGGATCCATTCTGGTTAATCCATATTTTTTGACAAGCTGCACTAGTACTTTTGTAATGTTTAATCTATTTATTTCATGGTCTCCTTGCACACAAGATAATGCTTGTTGTAGAGCCATGGCAGCTTGCTGGTCTGCAGCTTTTTGTTGCAATCTATTAGTAGAATCATCTAATGAAACCAAGTCTAGGCGTAAGAAGTCTTTGGGTAAATCACCAACATACACCTGCAAAATATGATTATTGTTTTCAATTTAAATTAATTTAATATTAAAATGATAAAAATTATAAGTACTGTTAGTTTTATTTTTTTAATGATGCAGAATAGAATACATTTTATAACATCTATATTATATAAATTTGTAGTTTTAGGCAATAAATGTAATAATGAACATTGATAGTAAATTTAAGTTACTTTAGTTATAAATTAATTATAACAGGTATAACATAATTTAGTTAACAATACTTGAATACTTTATATAGATAAAAACTATTTCATTATATATAATATTTATATTATTTTATGTTTTCCTAAGCTATCATGTAGTAATACCTAAACCTATTAAATATATTTTTTAGGTATTCTGTAGGTAATTATTATTTTCGTTAATTTGTAAAATGGCATCAATTTTAATACGCCCATAGATTTACAGGAATGAATATATTTTTTTTTAAATCCAACAGGTGTACATAGTATATAAACAATATTAATATGAAGACCTTGATGCAAGAGACAATCAGTTATTATTTATTATGATAGATTATGACTTATAAAGCATTGTTGAGGAACGAGAATAAGTACCATAGGGCATAGACACATAAACATTGGTTTTGTCAATGACACACAGACTTTGAATTAACCAAGTTAAATAGAATCTATTATAATATTAAGTTTAATGTATAAAGTGAGCAAATTAGTATATTATATTTCTGCCATTGTAGTGTTTGAACATATTTAGTATGTTCTAATATCAAGTTGACTAAAATTATACATTTTAATCAATGCCTAAATAACATAACCTAATAACTTCAAACTTTAATCTAATTTGTGTAAAAGCAAAGAAATATATATCCCAGAAGTGTCTTAAGCTAAACTGGTTTAAAATTATCCCTCTTTAGTCTTTATCCCACACTGGGCTAATGAGTCATATACCTTAATGATAAAAATCTAAAGTCCTGGTGCATTTTTTTTTCACTTGTGTTTAGCCTATTTAATTTCTAGATTATGTTCACAAATTTAATACTAAATTTACATACATTAGAAAATACAGACTTCCACCATAAATTTTTATTACGTTAAGTATACAAAAAACATTTATTTTTATTTTCATACTGAATTGTTATTGTTCTTTTGAATATCTAAACCCACTAAATAATATTGAGTTAAGTCTTGAAATTACTTGAATCAATAGGTATGAAGCAATATAAAATAAATGGGAAGGTTAAAAATGAATGAAAATAATATACAGTTTAATTAGCCAAAAGTAAATAGCAATTAACAAATATTACAATATTTGAAAGTAACGGTTAATAGTAATCAAAGCCTAAAGTAGTTATACAATATATTGGATTGTTGAATATTAATTTACCCTTTTTCGTCTCTCATCGTTCACCCTTGTAGTAACAGATTCCATGGTTTAAAATTTGTGGAACAATCCTGGCACGTATTAATTTGTCATAACACACAATTGAAATAAAAATGTACACAAATGTTCATTTGATGTTTGTATAATGTTCTTTTATTTGTTTTTGTTGACACGAAGTTCGCAATTGCGTATTTGAGTCTACAGTGTTAGTGTTGATAAAAAAAATACGTACACACAGTTTTAGAATAACATTAATGATTATAATTTATTAGTCACCCAATAACTAATATTTATAATTGTTATCACGCGAAAATATTTAAATACCTTCCGTATGTCTATGATCTGCACCCAATCATAATGTAGAGAATTATATTGTAATTTTCATGTTTTTGATTTTTTACACAGGTGTACTATGCGCCTTGGCCAACAACTGCGAGGAAGCCATGTATAAGAAATTAGCGATTGGATTGTGTGCCTAGAACAGTAGTACCCCTCTGATTGAAGTAGACAGCAACAAAACTTTAGGGGAATTTAGCGGACTGTGTAAGTACGACAACAACGGCCAAGCCAGGAAAGTGATAGGATGTTCATGCGTGGTTGTCAAACATTTCGGAGATGACACACAAGAATTGGACACTTTGTTAGAGATTTTGAAAAAAAAAGAATTTTGCGTAGATCAATAAAACCAAATATTTTTTATTTAAATGTTAAACTTGTGTTTTTCTTTATAATGGATAATTGAGAACATCAGCATGACACAGATTATATATATAGACTATATATCATCCATACAAAATAATACATAAATGTTATTCAAATTTGTAACTTTGTTGTTTTATAATTTGAGTTGGGTTCAGGTATACTAAATATTATGAACAGAGTGTCATAACTGCATCCATTTTTTTTAAACAATATTTGTAAGTTATAACAATTAAATATGCTGTATTTTACTTTAATGATACTAATATTACCAACACCTTGTTGTGGTAATTATGATAAATCCATATAGCATTACGTAATAGTCTTGGTTAGATTTATATTCCAACATACCATACTAAATTCTTATGATGGATTAAATGTGATCACTAATATTTAGTATCATTACTAACTAGTTGTACAATAATTACATGTTGGATAGGATGACTTTTTTAAATGGTTTCTATTGTACTAACCAAAATAACTTAAAAGTAAGAATTTTAATAAGTCTCAGTCTGTTCCTTTTTAAGTTTATAAACCCTCAAAATTTTGCCTCAAAATGGGAATTTCGAGAGTATGTAATAAACAAGTGACAAATTGTATGTGGTAGATATAATCTCTCATCTTCTTGATGATATGATCATTGAAGTTACAGTAGATTATAAGATAGATCTAATTAATTTTTCCATTGATAACTACAAGAATGCATGGGTATTAAAATGTTAAAATTATTTTGTCTCTGAAAAGTAATAACTATGATATCAATGAAAAAAATGAAGATTGAAATAAATAATCTTGATGTTATTTTATACTTGATAAAATCTTATAATGTATAGTAGGTGAGCATTAAACGGGTATACATAAAAATTAACTCTTGAAGGTACCATACACTATCACAATCCTAAATATTTATCAATGTTAACAGCTGCCGATTTTCGTACCACGTTTGTCATACCTACCCTGTTTATAATTGATATTTATAATAGTTTTATTATTTTCGGCAATATTGAGTGTAGAATTTTTAAAATATTAAGACTTTTTGTCTTCCCAAATGACTCATATATACAGTATAACAAACTGCTATAGTATACATAACAAATACCTAAATTATATATTTTAATAAACTAATTTTTAAAAATTATTTGTTTTTAGAGCCTTATAATTAGGATAATGTTTTTTTTTTGTCGAAAGTTAAAGATAAATTATCCTTTGCTCAATTAACTTATTGTTAAAAAAGGTATTTTTATGTTAAATGTTTGCACTTATTACTACTCACTTAAAATAAGATGTTAGAAATAATATATTTAGGTGTTAAGTTTTTTGACAAAACTTATCACTAACTACAAACAATGGTATTATTGAGAACATTAAAAATTAAAATAATTAAACAAAAACATAGTGTACAACAACACGCTTCAGCTTTATTCATATTAAATTTATTTATTAATTCACTCTGAATTTATTAGTTTAACCGTACAAACCTTTAAGGGTCTAATATCAGCATCCAATTCTTAATGTTCATGTTCAATGGCAATATTTAATATTGAGTCTTAAATTTGATTCAAAGGTAAGAGCTTATACTTATTTTATTAATGTAGTGTATTCATATAAAATACTACCATAAGCTTGCCCAGCCTTCTGTTCCAGGCGTGGCTTTTATATTTTTGACCATCCACTCCCTTAAAAAAAAGTAGACATACTAAGCAGATACAGCACAGCAATCTTCATACACAAATTGATAAAAAAAATTTCTGATTTTCCAGAAAAAGTGAGTTATTGACTCTATTTATCCAAGTACCTGGTGCTCACTAAAAAAATATCTAGCCTCAGGTGTTCCTACGGCCCTATAAGACACACCTCTATGCAGCTCTATGAATACTACCTTTGTGAATTTAAACATCCTAGAACTATATAATACTATACGTAATATTATAATTATAAAAATATGAAAACTTGTAATGGTGTTCCATACTATTACAGGCCCATTTGTAATTTTATATATAGTTATACTATATTGTACTTATACAATCTAGCCAACCTGAAATGTTTTTCTTATGGCCCACCCTTCCTGATCTCTAGACTCTAGTAGAAACTAATTATTTTTATTGCAAATTTTAATTATGAATCTAGAAGCCTTTAAAATCAAATCAAAATTATTTAGGTCGGTTTTGTACTTACTCATTCACTTGGCATATAAGAATTGTGACTATATCATGCTATTTTAACAGTTGTTTACAACTTATGAAAACTATTTATTATATAGTAATATTACAATGTAATAGATATTATGAGATAAATTTATTTTACAAAATTATTGATTAAGTATATATTTTAGGTAATGATAATTTATTAAGTCAGTGCTATAGCTATTGACTAATCATTTTCGAACAGTAGGTAGTAGATTTGAAGATCAATTAAGATCTTTTAAATTGCTATCATAGGTATTATAATAATATATAATTATATAATAATTGAAGCCATAAATGACAAAATTAGAGATCCATCAGAATCAGTTTATAACAATACAATTTTAAAATTAAAACCAAATACGTGTAATAGGTATATAGGACTATTTATTTGACCTATATTTTCTTTTAAAATTAGAAGATACCATGAATACGTCCATTAAAATGTTATTTCATGAAATAATGCAATTTTGATTATAAAATGTAAAATTGTAAGAATATTTTAAAAAGTCCAGAAATAGCACTAAAATCCAAAATTCACAAAAATGCAATATTTAGTTTTTGATTTCAGTTCTTTAGATCTTGAAACAAATTTTAAGCTTGCTCTACTATTTCTAAAGCATTTTATAAGATACCCTACCCTGATTTAAAGTTATAATACCTAATACGCCTATTTATTTAATACATTGTAATTGTATACAGACCCGGATTAACACTATCGTAGGCCCTAGGCACAGTTCTTTATTACCCATCATGTACTAATACGGTTCTGTAGTGTTCAGTATTTAAATGATTAAGAAACCTAATTTTTGGGAGAGGTAGTGTTTTTCGCAGTGTTTTAAGCCTTTAAAATCAAAAATATTTACAACCTGAAAATCAAATATAATCTTTATAATCATAACTTTATCTAATGACAATTTTAACACATCTAAAAATACATTTTATTTTACTCAAAATATATTATTTAAAATGAAACTGCAGGAACCATACAAAACAACTTATTTTATACCATTTTTCATTTTGTTCTTTGTATTTAAATATAAAACAAAAGATAATTTATTGTAACAAATTAAAAATAACAGTATTATGTAGAATATCTCTTAATATAAATTTATAGTTACAAATGTTTTTTCACGATATTTTTTGTTTGCAAATGATTCTATAACTTTTTCGGTATCGATGTCTTGGATTAATTCGTGTTCAATTGCAAGTATCGATAATGATGATAATTTATCTTGTCTAATAGTTGACCGCTGATAGTTCTTAACCCTCTTTAGAATTGAAAATGATCTTTCACCTTCGCACGAAGTTCCAAAAATTGATAAATATATTCTAAAAGCAATGTTTACATTTGGAAAACTTGTTACCATTTTAATATTTATTTGTTTAATTAGCATTTCATTAACAGACATCCCAGTTACTCGAAAGCTCTTAAAAATCAAAAACTCATTAACAAATGAAGATTCTAAATCGGTTTTATAGGCTTCAACTAAATTATTTGCCTTTATTTTTATTTCTTCATCTTTTAAACTCTCGTTAGTTAAAAAATTAAATCTTTCGTCTAATTTTAAATAAGCTTTTTTTCCGTCAAGGTTTTCATTTTCGTAGGCCCTAAAATGTTCGTAGGCCCTAGGCACAGTGCCTATAGTGCCTATTGGCTAATACGGCCCTGATTGTATATATTTAAACAATATAGGCACTATAGATAGATACGCTTACTCAGATCGGCCAAAGTCGCCTTAGTTTTTTCTCTCTAGTTTTTTTAGAACCAAAATACTTATAACCGGTTTCTTTATGAGTTTTATATAACTAAATCTAATGAAAACTTTATATTGAAATCTTGCCTCATCATGCCGATGACGTGTACTTATATAGGTACAGTTACCCATAACTTATTTCATTTAAATTGATAAACCAGCGACAGATAATCGTAAAAAACCTTTTATTAAAATTATGGCTACGGCGATGATAAGTCTTATTATTGCTACACGTAATACCAGATTTGTACAATAACTTACCAGGAACCTTGTATTACATTTTAAAGTTTTGACAGAGCTACAATTTTTTTATCGACTTGGGTTTAAAAAAAAATAAATAATAATTGAAAATTTCGTATGCTTATCAATAGTTAAACACAAATCAAAATATTTTGAAAATGTATTGTATGGTGCGTGTAAAATGCTTACACAAATATTCAGTCGTAAATTTCATGTTTCTACGGTCATTTTTGTTATAGTAACACTAAAAACACTTTTTCGAAAAATGGTTTTGCATAAAAATTCCCACTTTTCCTTAATTTGTTGTTTCTTTTTCCTGTTGCTTTCGAAAACTATTGGGAATATTAAATTTTGACCTCCCAAATGCATCAGTCAGATTCACTTTCTTACTATTATACAAGTACTATAAGTATACTATTATTACAAGGTTTCTGATATATTCCTACTACAGCAGTTGGAAAACATTTGAAATACATATCCACACGATTATGTTTTATGAGCATTTAAAGTTCAAATTTCGACCAAATTTATCAAATTGAGTATATACAAATTATTTTGTACTTAAATATTTATAAAATGTTCAACTTTTATAGCTAAGGATCAAAAATTTAAAACAAAGTTGAGCACAAGTAGTTAATCCTATCACCCTTAAAATATAAAAAATATATCTACATATATTTTTTTCAGCTATTTTAAGTTTAAATTTG